AGCGTTATCCAACGCGCTGTCGAGAGGACGATGCTAGGAGTAACCCTATACACGCAAGTGCAGAGGGGAATCCGGAGTTCCGAACTACGCCAACGATCGAAGATCAGGGACGCTGCCGTTTTCGCCAAGGAATCGAAGATAAGGTGGGCCGGACACGTCATGCGATTTTGCGATGACCGTTGGACCAGAGCGGTTACCGACTGGATCCCTCGGGACGTCAAACGAACACCTGGACGACCGCCGGCCCGATGGTCAGACTTCTTCACGAAAGCTCTGAACGAAAGGAATGAAGGCTTCGTGTCCCTCGAGCGAGGAGGATCCACTGGACAACTCTTGCACGCGACAGGGACGAATGGAGACGTTGCTGGCGCCCGCTCGAGCAATTCGATGATCAACGGGACGACAGGTGATACAGGTGATGGAAATGCTTACGTATCCGAACAGGGAGTGATCGTTGAGAATATTACCATTTACATTTCAGCTGGTCGCTTGTATTATAGAAAATGACGAATCCATGGGAAATCTAGGGCTCAGGGCGCGGAGAGTAAGTGTCATAGGTGCGAGACCTTATCAAATGGGTTGTCTATGGTAATCGACTTGAGAAATTTTCGGCAAATATGCCCTCCCCTTTGACTCTCTCCTCCCCACCTCTCACGAACGTGACCGCACCGCTCCATGACCCACCCCCCCCCCATTCCTTGCTCTGCTAATTTTTCGCCAGTTAGTTCAGGCTGCACTACTCTCCAATCCATTGTTACGATGGCCGAGAATTCAAAAACATAAACACCATCCAAAACCACAAATAGTGAAGCTCTCCCTGCGGCCGGTGTCAGACTTTGCGAATCCAGCGATCGTGGGGTATGAGCGGTGCGTCAGCTGTCGGAACGATGCATCAGCCACTTAGGCGATGCAATACCGACTCGACAGTGCGGGAAAGTGGCGAGAGTCCCTCCCATACGCCCATTGATCTCACCGTCTTCAAATGCTCACATTCCCTGTGAGCCCGGGAAAATTGCTGGAGTCAGCTGTGCATGAGAGCGACTCCCGCTACTTTTACACACTGTCGCTGGTACATCTTCCGAATCGCTGGTAGATCCTTCGATTGCTGGCGCATCGTGCAAGGCGCTGGGGCATCGCTTGTACCCCGTGATTCGCTACTTTAGGATAGCCAGACATCGGCCTACCGTGGAATTCTCGACATCGGCGCACCCTGGTGGAAGCTCTCAAATGCTGGCAGGCTATATCGAACCCTCCATCCCTCTTTATGTTTTTTTTCTGGCAGTGATTAACTTGCAAACCAATATTAACACATATGCTATTTTTTCCACTCCAAAAAGGTAAACAGACAATTTTGGAATAAAAAATGCCATATAACACAAACCAGGCGATTCTGTTTTGTGTGGCCCCATTGTGTCAAACAAAAGCCTTAAAATCCAAGTGTTGTTAAAATTCATAAGTTTTTCTGCGGCGATTATTGAGTCGGTGAATTAGATGAGTCGTGGAAGAAGCCACATGTGAACCATTGAGAGAATCGGAAAGGGAACTTGCGCAGGCAGTTCGTTGTGAAAACGGCTAACCACTCTTGCATGGTTCTGATCAGTGGTAACCACATTCTTCGCCAATCCTCCCACGTGTTGCTCACGTGTTCCCCCTGTTCATTTCTCCCAACCACTCTTACGTAACTCTTCATGAACTCGCCCCACTATTCCCTGCTCTTCCCCACTCTTGTGATCGATTTGAACTGCAAACAATGCCTTGTGACTCAATGCTGGTATACGTAATCCCTCTGCACTATGACAAAAAGCCGAATACTTCCATCGATATTGGTATCACATCCTTTGGCGGCTGTAATTCATAAGTTGCTAACGGCATGTGAACAGCACACCGAATAGCGTGACGTAAATCGAGGTGTGTTCGCACTTTGATAAGAAAGGCCGGAGAGTAACTTTTTCGGTGCTTGTTGAAATGAGAAAATAAATGAAAAATGAAAAAGGAGAAAGAAAGACTGTTTGTCCTGCTTCGGCTGAACTGCCAAACTCCAGGAGCTGGGCATTTCCAATAGCCTCGAGTTAGTGAATTCTTCTAGTTTCAACTATTAGGGGTGTCTCAAAAGTTCGTGCGTATTTCGAACATTTTTTTATTTAACTTTATTTCAAAAGCAAGCAATATCAATTAACAATATATTCACCATTATTATCAACAACTTGTCGCCAACGGCTAGGCAAAGAATGGATGCCTCGCTTCCAGAAGTCTTGCGGTTTCGAACTGAAAAAGATGGTGAGGTCATTTTTTGAGGTCCTCCTGTGAATCGTACTTCTTGCCTGCAAGATGGCTACTTAGAGACAAGAATAGGTGGTAATCGGGATGGGGCTAGATCGGGGGCTGTACGGTGGGTGGGGTAGTATTTCCCAGCCGAGGTTCAGGATCTGGAGCTGTGTCATCGACGAAAACGTGTGGCCTTGCGTTGTCGTGGAGCAAGTATACTTGGCCGAGTTCCGGAGAAACTAGTTGGAGCTTTCCCGCCAAAGTTTGTAGCTGATTACAGTAGACCTCGCTTGTAACCGTGCATTGGGAGGGAGAAGTTCCCAATGGTACACTCCGCGAACGCCCCACCAGACGCAGAGCATTACCTTCTTGCTGGAATGATCTGGTCGCACGACTAGTTCAGCTCTCTGGGATGGATCCAGCCATTGGCGTCTCCGCGTGTGGTTCACATAAAGGCACCACTTCTCATCCCCGGTGACAACGTTGTCCAACCAGTCCGTTCGGCGGGAGC